AGCGGGGAAGCTGATGTGGTTGGAAGTTGCTGTGCCTGGAGGGTCCAGGGCATAAAGAGCCCGGGCGCCGTCAGGGAGGGAGTGGCCTCAGCTTGGAGCTGCAGAAACTGAGATTCATCAGAGCAGGGGGTAGTGGGCAGGGGAAGGTGAGCACCGGGGACGCTGTGTCAGTCTCCCAGGGCTACCTTAACGAAGCATCCCAGGCTGGGGAGCTTAAACAATAGACTTTTCTTCTCTCACGTTCCTGGAGGCTGGAAGTCCAAGATCAAGGTCTCGGCAGGGTTGGTTTCTTCTGAGGCCTCTCTCTTGGCTTGTGGACGGCTAGCTTCTCCCTGTGTCCTCACATCATCCTCCCTCAGTATGTGTCTGTGTCCTAATTTCCTCATCTTTTAAGGATACCAGTTGATACTGGATTAGGGCCCAGACAGGTGACTTTGTTTCAAACTTGATTACCTCTTTAAAGACCTTACATCTTGATCGCGTTGAGCAGTGAAGTGAATGACATATAAAGAGGGGTCCCCTTGTGTCTGCAGACTCTGAGCCTGGACGCATCATCCATGGTCTACCCCCCACAGGAGGTGTGCGGCGCCGGCACCGAGGCCATTCAGCAGTTCCTCTGCAAAGGTAAAGCCAGGCAGCCTGCCTCCTTCACTCAGTGAGCACCAGACGTGACCCCTGGGACTGCTCTGCGTCAACCAGGTGGCTGGGGGAGGCCACGGTCCCTGCCAGCTCTCCAGATCTGGCAGGAGAAACAGGCAAAGCAGATCGTCACACAAGGAAGTACAATTACCGATCATGGCTACAAGAGAGTAGAATGGGGCGTCTGGTTTAGGCTGGGCCCTCGGGGAAGGTCTTTCCAAGAAAGTGGCTCGACTGAAACCTGAGGGATGATTAGAAAAGAGAGAAGGTTGTTCCTGGCAGAAGGAGGTGCATGTTGAAGGGCCTGGAGGGGCGGGGGAGTGGGAAGCATGATGGAGAGAAGGCCAAGTGGCTGGGTGCAAAAGTAGAGGCAAGAGGAACAGACGAGGCTGGAGAGGGTACCCGGCCGGTATCAAACAGGAGAGGGATTTGATCAGATTTGCTTTTTACAAAGACCACTCCAGCTGCAGTAAAGAGGAGGGATTGGAGGAAGCAAGGACGGGGACCAGTTAGGAAGTCATTGGGGTAATCCAGGAGAGAGGCCACCATGGGTTGGACTTGGAGGAGTGGCTCGAACCCAGGGCCACCCCTGGACTGGGTGCCAGGAGGGGAAAGCAGTACACCCAGTTACCTCCTGTCAGCCCAGATGTTCTTAATTAGGGGCTCTTGTCCACCTGTGGAAATTTTAGAACATGGCCAAGACTTGCATACATATGGTCATCTGATTTATGACAGAGGTGCCATTGCAAAGCAATGAGAAAGAAAAGCAAAGGTCTTTTCAATAAACAATTCTGAATCAATTGGATATTCATGTGGGAAAAAAAAAGAACATTAACCTAACCTCTTCCTTAGACAGGCAGCACTAACCATAAAAGACTGATAGATTAAATTTCATTAAATCAAAAACTTCTCCTCTTCAAAAAACACCATATGGGGAAAGAAAAGGCAAGCCATAAAGTTGAAGTTGATATCTGCAATGCATACATATCCAACAAAGGACTTGCTCCTCGGAGATAAAAAGAACTCCTACAGATCAATAAGGAAAAGCTGTTGTCGAAAGACTTGAATCGGAATTTTATAGAAGAGAATATCCAGAGGGACAATAGTATCTGAAAAAAGTGCTCAACATCGTTGGAGTGAATTAAAAAAATGCAAATTAACCCAGGGATGTAAGGATTCTTCAATATACTCAGATCAATCAATGTGATACACCACATTAACAAATTAAGGAATAAAAACCATATGGTCGTCTCAATAGATGCAGAAAAAGCTTTTGACAAAGTTCAACACCAATTTATGATAAAAACTCTCCAGAAAATGGGCATAGAGGGAACCTATCTCAACATAATAAAGGCCATATATGACAAACCCACAACAAGCATCATACTCAGTGGTGAAAAACTGAAAGCATTTCCACTAAGATCAGGAGCAAGACAAGGATGTCCACTCTCACCACTGTTATTCAACATAGTTTTGGAAGTCCTAGCCACAGCAGTCAGAGAAGGAAAAGAAATAAAAAGAATCCAAATTGGAAAAGAAAAAGTAAAACTTGTCACTGTTTGCCAATGACATGATACTATACATAGAAAATCCTAAAGATGCCACCAGAAAACTACTAGAACTAATCAATGAGTTTGGTGAGGTTGCAGGATACAAAATTAATGCACAGAAATCTCTGGCATTCCTATACACCAACAACGAAAAATCAGAAAGAGAAATTAAGGAAACACTCCCATTTACCATTGCAACAAAAAGAATAAAATACCTAGGAATAAACCTGCCTAAGGAGGCGAAAGACTTGTACTCAGAAAACTATAAAACACTGATGAAAGAAATCAACGATGACGTGAACAAATGGAGAGATATACCATGTTCTTGGACTGGAAGAATCAACATTGTGAAAATGACTATACTAGCCAAAGCAATCTACAGATTCAGTGCAATCCCTATCAAACTACCACTGGCATTCTTCACAGAATTAGAACAAAATATCTTACAATTCGTATGGAAACACAAGACTCCGAATAGCCAAAGCAATCTCGAGAAAGAAAAACAGAGTTGGAGGAATCAGGCCCCCAACTTCAAACTATACCACAAAGCTACAGTAATCAAGACAGTATGGTACTGGCACAAAAACAGAAATATAGATCAATGATACAGGATAGAATGCCCAGAGATAAACCCACACACATATGGGCATCTAATTTATGACAAAGGAGGCAAGAACATACAATGGAGAAAAGACAGCCTCTTCAATAAGTGGTGCTGGGAGAACTGGACAGCTTTCATGTAAAAGAATGAAATTAGAACACTACCTAACACTGTACACAAAAATAAACTCCAATTGGATTAAAGACTTAAATATAAATAAACTCCAAATGGATTAAAGACTTAAATATAAGACCAGACACTATAAAACTCTTAGAGGAAAACATAGGAAAAACACTTTACATAAACCACAGCAAGGTCTTTTTTGACCCACCTCCTAGAGTAGCAAATAAAAACAAAAACAAACAAATGGGACTTAATTAAACTTAAAAGCTTTTGCACAGCAAAGGAAACCATAAACAAGACAAAAAGACAACCCTCGGAATGGGAGAAAATATTTTCCAATGAAACAACAAAGGATTAATCTCCAAAATATACAAACAGCTCATGGAGCTCAATATCAAGAAAGCAAACAATCCAGTTAAAAAATGGGCAGAACAAGAGGGAGGGGATATGGGGATATATGTATACGTATAGCTGATTCACTTTGTTATACAGCAGAAACTAACACACCATTGTAAAGCAATTATACTCCAATAAAGATGTTAAAAAAAAAATGGGTGGAAGACCTAAATAGACATTTCACCAAGGAAGACATACAGATGGCCAAGAGGCACATGAAAAGATGCTCAACATCACTAATTATTAGAGAAATGCAAATCAAAACTACAATGAGGTATCATCTCATGCCAGTCAGAATGGCCATTATCAAAAAAGCTAGAATCAATAAATGCTGGAAAGGGTGTGGTGAAAAGGGAACCCTCCTACACTGTTGGTGGGAATGTAAACTGATACAACCACTATGGAAAACAGTATGGAGTTTCCTTAAAAAACTAAAAGAATTACCATACGACCCAGCAATCCCACTACTGGGCATATACCCTGAGAAAACCATAATTCAAAAAGAGACATGCGGGCTTCCCTGGTGGCGCAGTGGTTGAGAGTCTGCCTGCCGATGCAGGGGACAAGGGTTCGTGCCCCGGTCCAGGAAGATCCCACATGCCGCGGAGTGGCTAGGCCCGTGAGCCATGGCCGCTGAGCCTGCGCGTCTCCGCAATGGGAGAGGCCACAACAGTGAGAGGCCCGCATACCGCAAAAAAAAAAAAAAAAAAAAAAAAAAAAAAAAAAAGGAGGCCTGCACCACAATGTTCATTGCAGCACTATTTACAATATCCAGGACATGGAACCAACCTAAATGTCCATCAACAGATGAAGGGATAAGGAAGATGTGGCACATATATACAGTGGAATATTTCTCAGCCATAAAAAGAGACAAAATTATTTGTAGTGAGGTGGATGGAGTAGAGTCTGTCATGCAGCGTGAAGTAAGTCAGAAAGAAAAACAAATACCGTATGCTAACGCATATATATGGAATCTAAAAAAAAAAAATGGTATTGATGAACCTAGTTGTTGCAGGGCAGGAATAAAGAGGTAGACATAGAGAATGGACTTGATGACATGGGGTGGGAGGGCGAAGCTGGGACGAAGTGAGAGTAGCATTGACATATATACACCACGGAATGTAAAATAGTTGGCTGGTGGGAAGCAGCAGCATAGCACAGAGCGATCGACTTGGTGCTTTGTGATGACCTAGAGGGGTGGGATAGGAAGGATGGGAGGGAGACTCAAGAGGGAGGGGATATGGGGACATGTGTATGCATATGGCTGATTCACTTTGTTGTAAAACAAACTAACACAGTATTGTGAAGCAATTATACTCCAATAAAGATCTATTTTAAAAATGCAAATTAAGACTGCAAAGAAGGACTTTGCTGGTGGCACAGTGGTTAATCCACCAGCCGAGGCAGGGGACATGGGTTCGAGCCCTGGTCCGGGAAGATCCCACATGCCATGGAGCAACTAAGCCCGTGCGCCACAACTACTGAGCCTGCACTCTAGAGCCCGCAAGCCACAACTACAGAGCCCAGGTGCCACAACTACTAAAACCCGTGTGCCTAGAGCCCATGCTCCGCAGCAAGGGAAGCCACCGCAATGAGAAGCCTACGTACCACAACAAAGAGTAGCCCCCGCTCACCGCAACTAGAGAAAGCCCACATGCAGCAATGAAGACCCAATGCAGCCAAAAATAAATAAATAAATAAATTATTTTTAAAAAGACTGCAAAGAAATACTTAATCCCTAAGACACCCACTAACATGGCCAAAGTTAATCTGTCAATACCAAGAATTGGGAAGATGCGGAGCAGCTGGAGCTTCCATACTCTGCCGGTGGGAGCATGAACCCGAAAAGACTTCAGAAAATTATTGTCGGTATCTACTCAAGCTGAACGTTCAAATACCCTATGACCCATTGGCTCCACACGTCGGTAGATGCCCAAGAGAGAAATGTGTATGAACAAATGCCCAAAGCTACGTATGGAAATACTCATAGCAGGACTATTCGTAATGTAGCAGAGTGGTAAGCTGCTTTATACTCACAAATGAGCACCACACAGCAACCAGAAAGAACAAGCTGCTGCTGTGCTCAACAAGCTGGATGAGCTCACGGATGCATGGGGAGTGAGAGAAGCCAGACGCAAAGGAACATGCACTTTTATCAGCACCTGAGCTCTGAACCAACCCTGATTCCTGCTTCTGAGAGTGTGTTCACTTTTAAACATTCATCAAGCTGTTCATGAAGATTTTGTGTTCTTTTCTGTGTGTACGTTATACTGCAGTTAAAAAGGAAAGAGAAGTTACACATGCATCACACAACAGCTAATCAGGCCACATATCTACCAAATTAATCTTTGAGCAGCAGGTGATTGTAATGGGTACCCCAGCCAATGGTCGAGCTAGACCAAACCATTTATTTTAAAAGATTTTAAAGTTATGCAATAGAAGGTGTACAAAATACGTAAGGAATAAAGCAGTGAACATATGTATACCTACTATACAGTTTAAAAAATAACCCGGGGACTTCCTGGTGGTCCAGTGGTTAGGACTTGGTGCTTTCACTGCTGGGGCCTGGGTTCATTCCCTGCTCGGGGAACCAAGATCCCACAAGCCAAGCAGCACAACCGAAAAAAAAATAATCCTTCAATTTATTTAAACTGTGTAGCAGGTATATGTATGTACGTAAAATTGTTGGTTTCACTCTTTTTAAAAACATAAAAAAACCCACAGAAGACGTCATACTAGGTGATTCTATGCCCTGCTTTTCTCACTCAAGAATAGGTCTTGGGCCTTTTCCCATTCCAGAATGTGTGGATCTGCCTTGTTGTAAACTGCTGTGGAGTATTTAACGTGGCGGAGCCCCATCGCTTATGTACGGAAGTTATTTCGAGTTTTCCCCTGGAATGAATGTTTTACCCCACACCTCCCTGGCAGGCAGGAGTAGGGTTGGGAGGTGAAGGCGGGACAAGGGTACCTGGGAAGGTTCCCTAGGGCCCTGCTGCGTTACAGTCACAACCCTGTGTTGCCTCTGAAGAGGTTACATCGGTTTACGTTCCATGAGGAGTATCTGAGACGACCCTTCTTCCCCACAGCCTGGCGAGTGCTTGGTGAGATCTTTAAAAGTCTTCTAATCTGATGGGTAAACAAGAGAGCCTATTATTATTTTAATGTAATTTCCTTGATTATTTGAATTTTTCTTCATATGTCTACTACCCATTTTTAGTATTTCTTGTGAATTGCCTATTTATATCCTTTGGTAGGGGAAAAAGTGACTTTGACTACATTAAAATCTCAAGAACTTTATCTCAAAAGGATACTATCATCAAAGTTAAAAAGACAAGTTACCAACTGGAAGAAGATAGTTGCAACGTATATTATAGACCCAAGGTTATTAACTACAGTATGTAAAGAGCACCTACAAATCAGCAAGAATAAGGCAGAATGGGCAAAGATTATGAATCCTTTTAGATGATGCAGGAGGACACTACACAGGGCCAGGGAAGGCAAGCATCTTGCCCATACACAAGAAATTATGGGTAAAGCTGGGTCTTGGACCCAGGCTTCTTTACTAAGTTCAGGCTTCTTCCATCACCTCATTCTCACTTGGATGGTAAAGAGGCAGGTGGGGGGAGGGGTGGTATTTATTCACTCAGCTGATGCTTATTGAGCTCTTGCCACATTTAAGGCCCAGGCGTTAGGCCTGTGAGTAGCACAGGAAGGCTCAGCATCTAGCAGAGGGGTGCAGTGGACTGAGGCAGGAGTGGGACAGGATGCTGGCAGGGGCCGGGTGATGCGTGAGAGCAGCAGGAGTGGACTGTTCTGGGTTCCGAGGTTGTCTCCTCCCTCCTGGTCAGCTGGTGTCCATCTCTTGCAGCATCAGGGCTGGAATACTACCCCCCTTCTCAGTACCTGCTGCCAGTCCTGGAGCAAGATGGAGCCGAGAACTCCCGGGACAGCCCCAGTGGGTCCACAGACAGGTTCTCCAGTGAGGAGGTAGACTGGCAGGTAAGGCGCACCTAAGTGCTGGCGTGTGGCGTTGGGGCAGGGAGTACGCAGGTGCTCTGGACACAGGGGAGATGTTCAGAGCGTCAGCCCCCGGAGTCTTCTATCAAACTAGAACTCACCTCCCTTCAAACCCGTGTGCTTAGAAGCTTTTACAAGGCTTCCTAGGTGGCCTCACCCCGCTAGCTCACTAGCAACAGCCTTGCTGTGCTCCTGTCTGTCCCTGAACCCCTCGGGGCCTTTGAACCCCTCTGCTGGAATTCTCCCCACTCACCTTCTCCCAATAACTCAGTCTCATCCTTCAGTTCCTAGTTGAAACATCACGTCCTCTGAGTAAGCCTTCCCTGACACAGCAGCCCAGTTCAGGTCTGTGCATGTTCTCAGAACGCCCCGTGCATTTCCTTGGGGGCACCTATGTTACTGAACTCAGGTTCAGCTGCTCGTTGTTCAGGAATCCAATACTGAGAGACAAGTGTTGGGTAAAAGGAAAGATAGCCGTATTGGGGAAGCTGGCAATCCTGGGAGGAAGGTGGATTCGTGTCCCAAGGAACCAACTCCCCACTGTTGGGGCAAGAGCTTTTAAAGGGGAGTTTCAGGGGTGTATAGGCAGAAGGAGGGGGCTAAGTGCAGAACAGCACTGTCAGCTCTGTCATCTTTTTTTTTTTTTTGGCGGTACGCGGGTCTCTCACTGCTGTGGCCTGTCTCGTTGCGGAGCACAGGCTCCGGACGCGCAGGCTCAGCGGCCATGGCTCACAGGCCCAGCCGCTCCGCGGCATGTGGGATCTTCCCGGACCAGTGCACGAACCCGTGTCCCTTGGATTGGCAGGCGGACCCTCAACCACTGCGCCACCAGGGAAGCCCCAACAGTCATCTTGGAGTTGGTTAGGTGGTGGCCTGAACCGCATCATCTTGATTGTTTTAGGTACAGTTAATCTTTAACTCCAGGGTCAGTTTGTTCCCATTTCCTTGAGATTAATTCTTGGAATTGTGTGAGATGGAGCAGTTTGTCATGGCTACAGCCTGGTCATCATGTAGTTAATTTCTTCCACCTGTGGCGGTTTCAGTATCTGCAAAACAGCTCAAAGGACGTAGCTCAGAATGTTATCTATAGCCCTTGAGGAGGAACTAAAGGTCCTTGACTTTGTTTAATGGCTAAACTATTATTTTGCCTTGCTGACTGTTTTCCTTTGCTTCTGTAATTTCTCATTTCTCTGGTTAAGTTTCTTCTTTGGCTAAAGTTTCTCTACAGACAAGGGGCAGGTGGAGGACATTATGGGCCGGGAGGGGCAGAATCTGTTCTGGGAAGGTACCCTAGGGCCCTGCTGCCTTACAATCACAGCTCTAAATTACAAGAAGAATTACATGGAAGAGGATTTGCTTACTGCGTGTCTCCCTGCTGGATGGGGCTTCGGGACCGTGGCCCTCCCGGGTCCCTGGGGATGAACCAGCGTAGGTCAGGAATGGAGGAGGAAGCTCAGAAACTGCCCCTGCCCCCCACCTGTCTGCTCCCCCCCCACCCCCGGAGGCCTACAGACCTGGGCCTCCGATGGCTGGAAAGGGGGGCACCAGCTGTAGCCAGTTTGGCTTCATATCTTCCACTGATTTTTTTTTTTTTATTATTCTCTGGTTCCCTGATGCCACCCTTCCCCGTACTCCAGCGCTGCTGTGAAGGCTTTCGTAGGGTTATGTTTCCTCTGACAGCTCAGTGAGAATTCGAGAGGGAGGAGATTACTGTCCAGGAAAATTGTGTCAATTTATGCTCTCAAGGCATTTACAACATATATTTCTGATGAAGGATTAGCAGACTGAACATACAAAGAACTCTGGAATCAACATGAAACAGAAAACCAACCTAAGAGAAAAAATAGACTGAAGATACATCAATAGGTACTTTACAGAATAAAATAGTACAAATGATCAATAAGTGAAAAAATGCCCAGCTTCACTAGTAGTTAGGAACAGGTAAATTAAAACAATGAAATGCCATTTTCCTCCTCAGATCGGCACAGATTTCACTATGATCATTTGTTAGCCAGAGTGTGGGGAAGCAGTGGCCCCATAAATTGGTCTTGGGAATGGAAATCGGTATCCCCACTCTTGAAGATAACTTGACAAAATATGTCAACTTTTCAAATGGGCACAGCCCACAACCCAAAGTTCCATTTCTCAGTATATACCCCAGAGAAACACTTGTACAAAGAGACACTCAGAGGAATGTTCGTTGCAGCCTTACTTATGGTGGTGAAATGTTGGCAGCCCCCGAGATGTCTATCAGTGGGAAGAGGCTGAACTGACACGTCCTATTCATACAGTGAGAAGGACCTGTTCAGACTTGGGTCACAGGACAGGTGGATAAGTGAAAAGGACACCTTGAACACAGTGAAAATATTCAATCATATATTTCCAGTTTTATGTTTTAAAAGGTTCAAATAAGAAAACAGATCAGTAATTGCTGGTGACTGAGAATAAGAGGAGGGTTTGATGACAGGGGCACAAGGGAATTTAGGGGGTTATGGGACTGGTCTACATCTTGATGGTAGTGATGATTACAATACTGTATGCAATTGTCAAAACTCATAGAACTGTACATTCCTTCAAAAGGATAGATTTTACAGTATGTAAATTATATCTTCATTAAAAAATGTTTATATATATATGCACACACATACAAATATATGTATTTTTCCAAAGGTACAAATTGTATGTAAGTAACTGCATGGGGTTGGGTCTGATAATGATGTTTACATGGGGGCAGGGGATGGGGAGCATGGAGGGGTGGTTGGGAGGGAATCAGGATTAGGCCCAGGAGTGGTCTAATGGGTACTTATTTTTTTATTTTTTATTTTTTATAAATTTATTTATTTATTTTGGCTGTGTCGGGTCTTCGTTGCTGTGCACGGGCTTTCCCTAGTTGAGACAAGCGGGGGCTACCCTTGTTGCAGTGTGCAGGCTTCTCATTGCAGGGGCTTCTCTTGTTGTAGAGCACAGGCTCTAGGTGTGCAGGCTTCAGTAGCTGTGGCTTGCAGGCTCTAGAGTGCAGGCTCAGTAGTTGTGGCTCACAGGCTTAGTTGCTCCGTGGCCTGTGGGATCTTCCCAGACCAGGACTCGAACCCGTGTCCCCTGCCTTGGCAGGCGGATTCTTAACCACTGCACCACCAGGGAAGTCCCAATGGGTACTTTTATATACATGGGCTTTTTACAAGGAGAATATATTCAGGTGTTATTTGTATAATTAAAGATTAACTTAAGATTTTTTCCTATGCTGAGATAGGAGGAAATTTTTTATCTCTTTATAGGATGCTGCTTTTACAGGTCAGACAGACACTGATCCTGGCCTCAGAGCCAGATGACTAAATAGAGGGGCTGCTAAAAGAAAAAAAAAAAAAAAAAGTGTGTGTGTGCTGATGTTTGATTACAAAACTAGTTCAGGCTCCTTGTTGTAAATCTAAACAATAGTGAAGTGAATGTCACCCCTCCTACCCTGCAGTCCCACCCCCTGGAGGAATCGCCATGAGCTGATTAATGAACCTCCTTTGTAGCTTTTGTCTCAGCAACCACAAAGCTCAGACTTGAGTTTTGATGGTGGTGTTTTTACAAGAGTGAAACTATGCTGCCCACACAGTGAAAGATGGCAGACATCCTTCTCTAGCTACACCCTCATTTGCCCCATCGTTTGACAGTTGTGTAATAATCCATTGTGTGGATGAACCACGACTTATTGAAGTAATCGCATTTTGATGGACATTTGAGTTATTTTCAGTGCTTTCACTCTTTTGAACAATTCCTCAGGAACTTGAGCGCACGCCTCTGGGCGTTTTGTAAGTGTTTTGGTGGCTGGAGCTGGGTACTTGCAGGTGTGTTGTGCAGGCATACAAGGGAATCAGATACCCATCCTTGGTCTCTCTTTCGGAGCACCATGCCTTCTCAGTGCTGCATCAACAGAACTGCCTTGAAGACCTTCCTACAGTGGGCCAAGCCCAGTGGTTCCCAACCCTCGTGTCCACCAAAATCATCTGGAACCCTTTATCAAACAACCATCCCCCTCATCCCACCCACCCCAGCCCTCTGATGCAGTCCTCTGGATTGCCTGCAAACCTGAGTGGTGTCAGGCTGCCCCGGGGACTCTGTCCAGCGAGAACCGCTGCTGCCCACCTTCTCTTGACCCCACTCTCTCCTTTTCCTCCCAGAATAGGTTCTCAGACTATGAGAAGAGGAAGGTAAGAAAATGCCTTTTGTCCTCTGTCACTTTTCTTCTCAAACATCTCAACTATTATAAAAGATTTGAGGAAACGAGTTCTTCCGGGCTCTAAATTAGAGGGTAAAGTAACTCTCTCCCCTTACATACATTGCCTCACCACAGTCTCACGCAGCCTCGGTGGCTGGGAGGGTGTCTCCACTTGACAGATGAGAAGACTGAGGCTTGGAGAGGTTGAGCCCAACCCCAGGCTCTAAACCACTAGCCTGTGCCAGTGAAGAGCCCGTTTTATTACAGTCGGACCCTGCAGGGCGGGGCGGGGGGGCGAGGTTCAGTGTTCAGACCTGTCGCCTGTACCGTTCAGAGTTCGGGGGTGGATTCCCCCTGCTGTCATGTCCTAACACCCACAGGGCCTGTGCCAATACTCACCGGGATCTACATTCTTGCAGGAACAAAAGATGCTGGAGAAACTCGAGTTCGAACGGCGCCTGGAACTTGGGCAGCGAGAGCACGCCCAGCTCCTTCAGCAGAGCAACAGCCAGAAGGACGAGATCCTTCAGACGGTCAAGGAGGTTCGTGAGTGGCTAAGTGGAGTCAGGCCTGTCTGCTCCCTCTGCCAGGGGCCTCCTGACTCAGGCTGAGGTCCCTCTGATGGTGGGAAGGCGGTGGGAGTGAGCTCTCTCACTTCCCCCTCCAGGACATGGGGTGGTGGGGGGTCGTCCATACAGATCATCTCATCCAGCCTGCTCTGGTGCCTGGACACCCTGAGGCCTAGCGACACACCTGGCCCAAGGTCATGTGGAAAGGGCTGGCAGGACAGAGACAAGAAGCCTAGTCTCCGCATCCCAGGCCAAGGCCCCTGGCTGCCCTGTGGCGTCTGGGGGTGGGTGGGTGGTCCCCCCACTGACTCGGGACCTCTACCTGTCCTGCCGCAGGAGCAGTCCCGGCTGGAGCAGGGCCTGAGCGAGCACCAGCGCTACCTGGATGCAGAGCGGCAGCGGCTGCAGGAGCAGCTGAAGCAGACAGAGCAGAACATCTCCAACCGGATTCAGAAGCTCCTGCAGGAGAATCAGAGGTCAAGCTCCCAACCACCCGGCCCCCAGACCCAGAGACCTTCCCCCACCTGGTACCCTTTGAGGAGCTCAGGATAGAGGTGCATTTCTCCCTCACGGTCTCTGATTCTGCCCAAGGTCTCGGTGCTGCAATTCACACCAACTTAAAAAGAAGGTGATCTGGGCATGACCAAGTTTGCCTCTTGTTTTGGGGCTGCTACTGATGGGACTTTTGCCTCCCAAGTTTCCCATCTGTAAAATAGGTAGGTTTAACAAGTCAAAATCACGTCCCGTGCCAACATTTTGGGTTCCAAGTCACCAGTCACACTGAGGACAGCCATTTGCCTTATAGTGAGATTGGCCTTAACACAGATCCTGCCCAAGGCAAGAGCTGCAGGGAGCAGATCAGACAGAGGTTGCACGGAGCCTGAGAAGGGTTAGTTGGGGGTCTCTTGGGGAAAGACCTCAGAAACAGGCTTCCACCCCCCCATTGCTTCCAGCCTCCCTTTCCACTATCCTCTGAGTCTCTTTCTCCTCCCTCGCCCACAGTTATGCAGAGCCGGAGGGAGCCGGCTAGCCTGCCGTGCACCGTGTGCTCACCACTGAGGGCACCTGTGAAACCTACCATCTGTTGAGTGCTTGTTACATGCCAGGCACTTTTTATTTTCTCATTCACTCATTACCAACAGTCCATGAAGTTTTAAAAAATTATTATTCCCATTTCACAGATGAGGAGCTGGGGTTTGGAGTGGTTGAGGAATTAGCCTGAGAACACAGAGGCCCTAAGTGGTTGGTGCCTAAGCCCCCCTGAGCCATTCTTTTGGAAATGGGCCCGCTTTTCGTGGTTTCCTCCACAGGCAAAAGAAAAAAAAAGAAACACAGGCTTTTCATGGTTTCCTCCACAGGCAAAAGAAAAGTTCCGAGATTCTGAAGTCGCTGGAAAATGAAAGGTAAGTGTTCTGCTCTAGTGGGTATTTTTAGGCACTGCCTTCCTTCCTGGGGATGCATGGCTCTGGGGAGAGAAGGTCTTGTGATTCTCAAGGATTATGCCAGAAAGTTTTCCTAAAGCTATGAGGAGATTCACCTCCTCAGGAAGTATTGAATTAGAAAGAATCACTGCCTTCAAGTTTGTTAAAACACATAGACACTCCTGAGAAAAATTCAGAGACGTGAATAAGAATGTATATATAATGTCCTACTATATTTTTAGAATAAAAAAATAGAAAAAAGTCCACATTTCTGGGAAGAAAAACTTGGTTACGTAAATTATGTACAGAGGAATAATCTGTAGCCATTAAATATCTTATAGAAGAACATTCCTTATTAAGGGAAATACACCATATTGCTAAGTGGAAAAGTGGTGTCTACACTATATCATTTCTTAAAGACACTCTGCCTATATCTGTGCTCAGAAAGCAAAAGGATATTGAACATTTTTGAGAGGCAGGAATTGGAGGTGGTGATCTTGTTTTTTCCCCTTTGTGTTTTCTGCATGTTTCAAATCGACTGCACTGAGGTGCCCACCTTAGTGATTAGAAATGGAGGGACAGCCCCTACGCCCCATTCCCTGGGTATTAATGTGAATCCCTCCTGGTTCTCAGGGACCCTAGACTATCAGTGTGGGCCTAGCTGCTGTGCTTTGTGGGAGCCTCCCCTCCCTGTGGGCCCAGGCTTCCTGGTTCCTGGCTGCCTGTGCAGGCCTCCTGCAGGGGGGTCCCATGGAGTTGCAGTGTAACCCCACCACCCTGTCCACTTCAGCCGGGAGCGGTGGCAGCCAGGCTGGTCTAGGCCGAGCTGAGCTGTGGCCAGTGGCATCGCTTAGTCAGCACACTGACTGAGTGCCCTCTCTGGGCTAGGCCTGGGCTATGCCTAGGGTCCAGGGATGCACACCAGATACGGCCTTCCCCTGAGCAGCCTGTGGGCCTGGGCAGGAGGCAGGAGTGCTCAGACGATACATGCTGCTTCCAATAAAGTCAGACCCTGCAAGAAACATTAAAGGATGCTGTCCCCCTCCCAGCCACTGTGCCAGTTTGGTGTGGGGGGGCAAAAAGTGTACACACAAGCAACATGCACATACATACATGCCATTACTTTTTAAATTTTCGCTTATTATATCACAGATGTATTTCCATGCCCAAAACCTCATTATTTGTACTAGCTGTAGCGAATTCCACTATATCATTATATCATAATTTACGTAATTAGCCCTCTGAACATTTAAGTGGTTTCTGGCGTTTCATAATTACAAACAATATTACTGTAAACATCTTCTAGATATACCCTTACGCACTTATGTGAATGTTTTTGAAGGAAGTATTCGAAGAACACTTTGACAGTATTGCGAGACTGCCTTCCAAGAACATTTTACCAGTTTACACTCCTCTCAGCAGTATATCAACTACCCACTTCTCCACCTTCACTGCCATCACCAGTGGTTATCAGTTTTCTTAATCTCAGCCAACCCGATAGGTGAAAAGATTTTACTTCTTTCATTATCAGTGGTGTTAAGAATCTTTCCGTATGTTCTTTGGTCACTTTTATTTAAGCATCAGTTAATTGGCTGTTTGTATCCTTGGCCTATTTTTCTATGGGAATGTTTATCGTTTTATGCAAGAAACTCTTAAAGTTAACAGGGCCCCAGTGGAGGCGCATGATGCCGTGGGCGTTCAGAGAGCATGCCTGAGTTCTCACATCTGGGAGGGCTTCTTGAAGGAGGTGGTGTTCATCTGATGGGATTCCCTGTTGGAAATGTTACTGATACATTTGCTGAGTAAATGGATCGATCTTCTTCTAGAATAAGAATGGAACAGTTGATGTCCATAACCCAGGAGGAGACAGAGAACCTACGGCGCCGTGAGATCGCCTGTGAGTCTCAGGGTGGGGTGGGGCAGGGCAGGGTCCTGGGAGCAGAACTTGGCCAACTGAGGGGCAGGAGGGGACAGCCATCCTTCTTTTGGTCACGTATAGAGGGCGCTGAGTGTTACCCCTCAAGAGGAGCGGTCAAGTCCCATCGTGGAGCATGGGCTCTGAGGTCAGCTGAACTTGGATTCAGAATCCCAGCTCAGGCACAAGCCATATGACCTAAGGGGCATTACTGGTCCCTCTCAGTTTTCATGTCTATAAAATGGGGAGAAAGGTAATTATCTGCCTCGTGGGGTCATTATGAGGGTCAGATAAGATCATGCTGGCACAAAGTGAGCTGTTCACAAAGCGTGGCTGTTAGGGCTACTCTCCTCAAGGGCTGCGGTGACCTCTCTTGAGCCCCTGGAAACTCGCCTTCCTGTCGCTCCCTGAGTGGTCCTGGGCACCACACTGTCCACACAAACGAGAGAGGTCTCCCCATCTGATCCTGAGAACATCAAGCCACGTGGCAGGGAAGGCAAGGAGGCAGTTCCTCGTTGTTATTTAAAATAAGGAGGGCTTCCCTGGTGGCGCAGTGGTTGAGGGTCCGCCTGCCGATGCAGGGGACGCGGG